TTTTAAAAGGCCCATGTAATGGGAAACAGAGTTCTCTTCACTTTTTTAAATAAAATGTTTTGAATCAGAGACCACAGTTATTTATTTAAATTCCAGTCAAAACGGCCATTTAGTACAAGTTATTCATTTTTCGGGATTAGGGAAAAAACAGGAAATATATTTAATTCATAACACAGAAATCTCAACAGCTAAATATAATATCACACTTTTCAGTATTTAATGTGTTCAATACATTGCCTTAATTACAGTTTCCATTTTCAGGAGACTTTCAGTTTTCCAAAGAAATGTGCTCATGTCTTAGAGGTTAGTTGCATTTCTGCTTCTCAGCATCCAAGTAACCCAGGCATGTTCGGTAGTGTTGTGTTCTGGACTCTGGGATGGCCAGTCCATTGTTCTGAGAACACAAGCAGCTTCTTTGTTTGACTTCAGTTCTTTTGTGTCTATTTCCTTTTCTCAATAATATCTTCTTAACAGCTACACATCCTTTCAGACCCATAGTTGAGTTGTCTTCTCACAGTGGAAGGATGGACAGAAACACCTGTAGATTTTTTTCATATCTGAAGTAAGGGTGACGGTTGATTTTCTCCTCTCTCACAAAGATGAATGTTTTAAGTACTGTTTATCTGATGGTGACAATTTTGGCACCTGACGCTTTACCAGTAAGAGTCATTGGGCAAGACTCATAACACTACTTTCGTTTACCTCTTTAGTGATCAAATTGTAAGTCACTCTGGATAAGAACATCTGCCAAATGCCATAAATATAAATGTAAAATGTCATATCTCATCTTCCAAGAAATATCTCTTGGAAAAAGGAACAACCATTTTGACTAGAAATTATATAAATGAAATGTGGTCTTTTGTACAGCACTGTAGTTTTGTAAACATTGTTAAAATTGCAAATATCATTCACTCCCCAGTCCAGACAGTCTACATTACCAATTCAAATGATTGGAAACACTATTTGTAGTAATCCCTTTGTAAATTATCTGCCCATTTTTCAAATACAAAGTGTTCTGGTCTTAATTTGGTTACAGCTTGTATTCATTGTCTTTGTGATGTCATATAAAACAGTGTATTTACTTATGTCAACCTTTTCAGCCTATAGCAGTTCACATTTAAATTATAAGTAGTGTTTTAGCCCAGGCTGCTTTATTAATAAGACACAACACAGGGCCACCAATTAGATCATTAAAACAGATCATTACATCTATCATTCTTAAAGGCACAGTAACGAAAACAACCTATTTAGGGAATAAAGAGAGAAAATGGAAAATGGTCATGTAATTATGACTGTTCTGGTACATAAAACCACACAAATGTTATTAGTGGACTTAAGGGAAAAAATAAAATAAAAGAAAAATAGACATACACCAGTGTATTGACAAAATACAGGCTTCAGGAAGGCTGCTACTACTGTTTTAACTTGGCTTAGTAAATTTCTGTAGATAAGAGAATGTCAGAAACCATGTAAACAAGTCTATTTGAGATTACTTAATGCAGTTTGCGGCAAAATGTATGACGATTCAGTTTTATTTACATCATGTTAATTGGTAAGCTTCTATTACTTGTTAGTTACATGATTCTCGTAGCTCAAATACAATGCTTAAGCGCATTTCAGACACTAAGCATGTCTTGGCTGATGGGCTATATTAGGGGGGGAAATTATACAACTTGGAACTTTTATTCAAAGAGTCCTGCTGTTGTTACAGCTGGTTCTGCATAGCACTGTAATACCTCAGCATTCATCATGAAGGCATGTGAGTCCAGCAAGGAGATTAGAATATTGAATTTAATGAGTATTCAATAATCCTGGTCCTTTGATGCCTGTTAACTGATGGCAGCTGATGATGAAATCAGAGGCTGACATCACAAACCAAGCTCTTGTTTAGAACAGAGAGCTTGCTGTGAATGTTCCACCTTTTACTCTTCTACTGATTCTCATACTATCCTGAGAGAAGATAAGAACAGTCTCCTTTGCACAAGCACTGATTTCCTTGAGTGCAAGGTTTTTTGCGTGGGTTTCAGTTCTGTTCAGTAGGTCTCTGGAGAACAGTACATGATAACTACTTATTAGCACCCGTCCAGCCCTAGATTAACACTTATTCAGCAATTATCTCATCTTGTCAGCGCCTAATTACGGGCTGTGATGCAACCAAGAGCGGACTAGCTCTTAAACCAGCCCCCTTTTATACTGGAGTGTGAGTGGTTTTTCTGCTGGGGAAAATGTTGGTGGGCTGGTGTTCTCTGGTGTTGATCTAGAATGGAATGCATGCCCAAGGCTGGGAGGTCTTCAGTGAGGTTTTGATGACTTCACACCACTTTTCTCTCTCATTCTTCCATGCAGTGTCCATGTCTTGAGCATCAGACATGGATCATGGGGGTATTAGGCACGGACAGTGAGGTGGAACAACAATCTAGTGACTCCTCACATAGTACATTCAGATCTACAGAACATCTCTGGAGCCTATCAGCACACTGCATGCAAATACAAATTAGAGAACAGAGGAGGTGCTAAAAATAAATAATTCCTCAGTGGCTAGTGAGATAGAGAAAAACGCACACCGGCACAGAGCGTCCGAAAATTCTAAACTTTTGTTTTTAATGAAGGTCCGCACACCGGCGCAGACATGCAGCGATGCTCGCAACCCCGGCAGGCAGTCGTTTAGATAAACAGACGCATGCTAATGGTAAGTTACCTCAGCTAATACTAGTAGCCTAGCCATTTCAAAAACAGCCAGTCTGTGAAGAGGTAGTAAACAGATGCCAAGCATGATAAGTAATCATTCAGTTCAGAGTAGAGTGTAAAAATGAGTTAGAACAGTATCTGATTGTATCATTAAGAAGACTATGTCGCCATGTTGGTAGGCAAGCTGCAACTCTGACTGTGCTTTGATAGAGCTCGTCTCATCATCATTACTGCTGCTACAACCCTGCTGGTGGATAAAAACCAAGCAAAATAGACCAGAATGACCAGAAAAAAGATGAAAACATGTGCAGACAATTTAGATGCAAATACATGGGTTAATATGCTTTAAAAAAGGGATAAAATAAGTGTTTAAAAAAACATGGTATACTGCCTTTGCTGAATCAGTTATGGCTCTGTTATCTCATTACACACCGCCACAGCACTGCTGAGTGAACTTGAAGTCGCCTACCAAAATGGTGGCAACGTGATTGTGACATCATCTTAATACTATCAGTTATCATGTGGAAAGTTTTATTGGTCTATAGGCAAAATAAAGAGTTCATTGTTTAAAGTGTGATGTGTTTTTTTATTTTCTTAAATATAAAAATACTAAAACCATACCATTACCATGGCCCAAAACTGTGATACATACCGAACCGTGGGCCCACTGGATTTACCCCTATATAGTAGATATATGACGATGCTACAAGAAGCTGAAGTTTTTAGTTCAGTCAGTCACAGCATTTAGTTTTTCTGAGGTTTGAGAAGAACCAACAGTGCCACATTTAAAAATAATATCCAAATCTATGGGTACAATGATGTTTATTCATAGTCCCACACACTGTACTGCACTAAATCCAGTCAAACCGTAGTAATGATGCTGTTTGTAATGAAGCATGCAGTTAGTGTTCTTTAAGAAGCATTTCTTAAAGAGCATTTTCTGACATAATGTGACATGATTCAACTGGGCTTTACTATAGGTATTCAAACAACACTAGGGATTTTGTTGTGATAGACTGTAGATTTACAGCCTTTACATTGATGTTTTATGCTGTTGGCTTGAAGTCATTACTGCCATAATGTATTTTGTTCTGTTGTATTCTGCTTGTTTTGCCTCTAGTGGCAATTGGGTAAATATTGCAGATTAATTAGCTGATAAGAATTGCTGTTACCATTAAGCTGCGTCTGTTCAATTTTCTGAAGATCTTGGCTTTCAAGGTTTTTTCTCAGCTGGTCAATATGAGCAATGTCTGTCAATCTAATCTGCCAAACTATTTTCATATAACAAATAATATTCTTCAGCCTGCATAATGAATAAGTAATATAACCAGTGAGAAAAGGTTAGTAAATGGTTACTCAGTGGTGGAGTTAACTGTAATTACAGGTTTATATGAAAGCTTTGACTTAATGCTTGCGTTCTTGTATGTGTATTTTTTTCAAATCACTACATTCCAGTACATATCAGTGATGCCGTAGAAGAATTATTTTTGTTTCCTTAAAGCAGTGGTTCCCAACTGTGGTCCTGGAGGCACACTGCCATGCACATTCTAGTGCATTCCCTGCTTTAAAACGTCGACTCAGTAAAGGGTTGTTCCTGAGTTGGACCAGATGTGTTGGGAGCAGGGAAAGTACAAAAATGTGCACCCTGAATGGTTCTTGGACAATTTTAAGATCTTCAAGTTTAAAGAACCTCCAAACGAGGTAAATATTCCAGGAAGAACCCTTAACTTGGTTTACATTATGTGAAGGTTCTTTATGCCTTTAAAAGATTTTTCACTCTCATATGTCATTACAAACATTAAGAACATGGTTCTTTATGGAACTAAAGTAGTCCATCTTTGGCATCGCAAAAAAGAAACCTCTTTGTGGAACATTTTTAAAAGAGTGAGACACTTTATGGTATGAATTTGACATTGCAGGGAGGGAAATGTCTTTAATAATAGGCATTCTTTATTTAGAGAGTAATAACAATTTTCAGCTGCTGAAGCATTAAATAGGCAGGACATGCTCTAGAAATCTACTGTAACACTATCAAATTGTCTTCAATGAAGTGGAACCAACTAGACACTCAGATTTTAGATATATACATGTAGCCGCAACCTTTTCATTGATGTTGATGAGACGAAAAAGAACAAAGTGTTTCTGCAGTTAATCTGGTACCGTGAGATTCCAAATTAAGCTTGGTATGCAATGGTATGACATCAGGAGATTTGTAGTCGTGCTGAATTAACAGGTGTGCACAGCTGTTCTGAATCAGAGCGAGCATGAGCAGAGCTATATTACAACCCCCACCTCTCTCTCTCCCTCTACAGAGTGACCGTCTCCTCATCAAAGGGGGGAAGATAGTGAACGATGACCAGTCCTTCCATGCTGACATCTATATGGAGGATGGAGTCATTAAGTAGGTTTTTCTATTATTTTCTTTGTGTTTTTGTTCATTCTTTTGTTAATTCATGTCTCTTTCATATGAAGCACTAAAAAGTAACATTTGATGTAATATAACACCCACAAAACACAAAATTTTAAGGTCTCCTACCTTTCTTTTCACTCCCTCTTCCTCAGGCAAATTGGAGAGAACCTCATTGTTCCTGGTGGGGTGAAAACCATTGATGCCCATGGCAGGATGTTGATCCCTGGTGGCATTGATGTTCACACCCGTTTCCAGATGCCCGACCGGGGCATGACGGCAGCTGACGACTTCTACCAAGGCACCCGTGCCTCTCTAGCTGGAGGCACCACCATGATCAGTATGTGCAGAACTGAAATGCACTAGCCCATAAGTGCATACCTCAAGTTGCTAACAAATCGACATCATCTCCCCCACCATATTGTACCCATTTTTTTCCATTTAGCCAACTTTTTTGTTTTTAACAATTCACCAGTACAGAAATGGTAAAATAGTTTAATGTAAAATGGGCTACTAGGCACCCAGGATATGTCATAACAGAGAATTGTATATTTGCACACAATATTTTGTATCCATTTAGTTATTATCAGTAAGATATTATTAGTATGTTATTTTGTTTTTGTACATTTAGTGTCTTATGAATGAACGGTTCACAAAATGCTTACGGCGCATTTAAACAAAAAACGTTCCAGCCAGTTAGTGGACAAGGCAGTTCTTTAAAGTAACTTAATTTACAATTACCAACTTCCAACTCTCTCCTTAATTCTACTCACTTGCTAAGCTCTAGTAGGATTGCCCGGTATGTGTGAGGCTGCAGCAGGTGTCATGTCTGGGTGGATGTGTGAGATGATTTGGGGTGCACAGGACCAGGAGGCCAGCTGGCTCACACAGACAGTCTCAGCAGTGTGCATGTGTGTGTGTGCGTATGATTTGGTCCACTCTGTCAGGCCCGGGTCTGCCACGCCAGGCATGTGCAGAATGCGACAGCAGAGCTTCAGCTAGCGAAAATGAGCAGGATTTGGAGAGGGCTGCCAATTAGCTGTTTCCTGGAGTTCTCCCAGGACTGCACTCTATCGTGCTTTCTCCCACTCATGGTCGGCTGGGCTATATTGTTGCTCTTCGTGTTCTCTCGTGCTTTTGGCTCTGCTGTTTGATTAACCTTGTTTGGACGGTGTGGGAGGGAGGGTGAGAGAGATTAAGATGCGACTGCCAGTGTTGTCAAAGGTAACAGAAAGAAGTGAACCTAAACACTGATGTACTGATATCACATGCTCACAATGCTGACACTGTGTGTTTCTGTGTTTCACAGTTGACCATGTGGTGCCAGAGCCCGGCGTTAGCCTCATAGCAGCCTTTAACCAGTGGAGGGAGTGGGCCGACAGCAAGTCATGCTGTGATTATTCTCTCCACGTTGACCTCACTGAGTGGCACAACGGCATGCAGGAAGAGATGGAAACCCTGGTGAAGGACCACGGTATCAGATACCAACCTCTTTATACGCTCTCAGACTCTTAAATGACATATCGCTAGACCTGTCACAGTTATTACAAAGAGGCAAATAAATGTAAATAAAATAAAGCAGTAAATGCTTTCATTGAGACACCAGGGGGCTAATGAAAACTGAAAAAAAGTTCTAACTTTTAACTTGGTGCTCTTACTTGTTTAGAGGGCAGCACTGAGTGATGTTTATTTTTTAGCTATGTAGCTATGGCTAACATTTTCAACATGTATGCTAGTAGAATTAGTGTCTTATCGTTTACATTTTCACTCTTGTAAAGGACTTGGCTTAACTCGACACATAATTCTGTGAACCGTCGAAGTTTGTGTGAGTGTGTGCAGTATTGATTCAGCAGTACAACCAGTGTAGCTACTGAGTAAAGGTAGCTAGCAAGTAAGGTGGCAAATCAGCCAGTTATGCCCCTTTACTTGTGCTTTTAACCTTTACTTGTGCTTTAATAGTTTCAAAGAATAAACAAGAAAAGACAATTAAATTGTTAATTGCAGTTATTTAAATGTCACTCAATCGTGAAAACATGTCATGATGGTGACAGCCCTACAGGCCATCTTACAGAAATTTGAAGTTAATATGGGATTTGAGATGCAGTCGTTAATTCATTATAGTAAACTGAATATTGTGTCAGATTATTATTGGGCAAGCTAAGTCCCTGTTCGTCAAGAATTCCCTCAAAATTGATATATTCTCACATGTTGGACATGTTGAATGTATGCATCTCTTTTGATCAATGAGCTTGTAAATTTAGTTCATTTTTCTTAAATAGAATCATCTGGCTTGTATTTAAACTCTGCAAGTATTGTGGTGAAACTCTTATTTCAGTGGTTTTTGTGAAGATTTTGACAAGGTGTTAAAATCTTAAAAAGACCAAAGGAAAATTGTTCAATCCAAGATTGGTCACTGACTGCCAATATGAGCTTAACCAGGTTTCAGTCAGTTATTAGAAATAGAAAACAACGGCAGCAGCTCTGTGCATGGCTCTGTAAGAACAAGAACATGTCACTGTAAAACTGCAATGTGGAAGATAAAATATATGTCTGTTACAAAAATGTCTGTTACAAGCTTCAAATAAAACATCTGGAATGTCTTTTGCAAGCATCAAATGTAACAAAAAAAAAAAGTTCAACATACTATTAGAAAGTTTTGACACTGATGGCCTAAACTGAAGGCTTTGCAGTCACAGTTCATCACTTCTAATGGCATGTAATACACATTACATATTCTTAGTTTTGTTTCCCCGGCATAGATTGTTTGAATGATCTATATCTTTGTGTAGATTTGCCTTGTCTGAAGAAGGATTTATCTCTGTAATTGTGTTGAAATACTTATGCACCTCTATTCTGCGTCTGTGTAGGTGTCAACTCTTTCCTGGTCTATTTGGCTTATAAGGATGTTTTCCAGCTAAATGATTCCCAGGTATGAATGTGAAGCTTTTAACAGATAATACGGTATTTGTAGTTATTATGACTGCATATGCAGATGTGTTGACTCAAAATATTGCAAAATATTATTAAGGGTTTCTCATGTAGTCTTAATGTATAACGTAGCTGGTTTGCTCGTTACAAAAAATATTCTAGCATGCTCTTCATGCAAAGGAGCACATGAGTGTATTTGGCTGGTAGTCTCTGGGGAATCATCCAGCATGCAATAAAAACCTCTATTTCCTGCAGCTGTAGATTCCAGCTAGATTCACTACAGATGATGAGAACCACTTTCGTGTCTACAGTATGAATGCAAACTACTGTCAGAAGTAGGTTGGATGTGTCTATGGGCATCACCTTACACTGTCTTGTGGAGCTGCTTAAAAGTAACTGGTGTTTGGCAGCGTTATCCTTTACAGCCTTAAGCTAGAGATCTTCCATGTTGCCAAATATGCATTGATAGTATTTGATTTATGTTCCCTGGCTTAGATGTTACTGTCCTTTTATCTATGCATCCTTGCCAAAAATTACATTCTTGCTGGCTGACAGTAAAACGCCTGGCTCTGTGTGTTTCCTGCATAGATGTATGAGGTGTTCAGTGTGATCCGTGACCTGGGAGCCATCGCCCAGGTGCATGCTGAGAATGGTGACATCATTGCTGAGGTAACACCTCCTTCCTTTTTCACTATCACCTTCATGTGCATTGGGTATCTTCCCTTGTCCTTCTGGATATCACTCCATCCAGATACTAATAGTTTCAATGTTTATAATTTAAGGAGCAGAAAAGGATCCTTGAGCTAGGCATCACTGGGCCAGAGGGCCACGTCCTGAGTCGTCCAGAGGAGGTAGGACACCAGCACAACATAAGTACAATAAATCGATAGATTGTAATGTCATGTCCACCTCTCTTCAAACATCTATATGCTTCCTCAAACTCTTTAAAACCCTTATCTACTCATTTTCATGATTTTCTTCTGTTATCTATAGTTTGTTTTTACTAGGAGCTGGCAGAGAAATAATCATATTGGTCTTTCCTGTTGAGAGATTTTTTAAATGACTTTTTTGTATCATTCGTACTGTGTGAGTAGGACAGGACTAAATTTTGCATAGTTGTCGTAGTTAGTAATATGTATATGTCAGCTACTCGTGTTGCTTTCCCTAACATATTCACATTGCTCTCCCACTGCTTCAAGTTCCAGCTAAAACTCCCAGCAAATAGGTTATTTAAACTTTTCTAAACTTTGTAGCAGTGCTTGCTGTGAAGGTTTACTTTGTTGTTTGTATCATAGCTAGGCACTGCTTCCAACTTGCATTAGCAACATGTTGCAGGATCCTACTATCAGCAAGTAACTTCATTTATGAGATCACAATAGCTAGCTTAGGAATAAACCACCTTAACTGGTAGAAGTAAAATGATACATTAGCTTGGTATTAAGTCAGCTTTCTTTGAAGTCACTATGGGAAACAAAACTTTAACATGCAAAAAATATAACATGTAAAATATGTGTAGAATATTAACAGGCAATCAGGGAAGAATGGTCAAAACACAGAATGAAAAATGTAAACTTGTAAGCTAAATTAGAACTCATTTCTAGAATTAGTATATCATACTGTATTTCAGTTTAAGAAATGAATGTTTTCTCCCTGGCTTAAAGCATAAACGCTTATGTGTGAGGCAGGGTAATGCACATTTAAAGTCCTCTTTTATCTTTTTGACTTCAGAGCCATTGATCATGGTACACTGAGACTGCTTTAAGCTGCTTTTAGATCAGACCGTTGGCCTGTGGACAGCACAGTCAGCATTTGGGAGATGCTGAGTAGAGGCTTAGTGAAAGGCTCAGGTTATAATTCAGCATGAATGTCAGTGAATAAGTCTGTGCTGGTTTTATAGGTGGAGGCCGAGGCAGTCAACCGCGCAGTGACGGTGGCCAATCAAACAAACTGCCCCCTGTACATCACCAAGGTGATGAGCAAGAGTGCTGCTGATGTCATTGCTCAGGCCAGGAAAAAAGGTGAGATCATCATTCAAGACAAAATGGCTACCAAACACGATTGTTATCACTGCGCTGAATGAAACATAGCCAGAGTGCAATTTATGCAATGAAATTCAGGGGTGCTTTATTTCCCCAGAGTGATTACACAGAGTTTCTAGATGCATAATAAATATGATACTGGCATGTGCTTAAGGGAACCGTATCAAAAACGTACCCATTAAATGTTTTGCTAGAAAGCCAGCTGCTTAGCCAGTAAATTAGCTATTATGCATGTGAAAGTTTTATTGTTTTTCAGTGAGAAAAGAGAAAAATTACACAGAAAATGACCTCTTAGATAGCAAATATGAAGTAAAGAAAGCAGTGGCATTTTTACCAGTAGCACCAATAGCATATACAGAATCAGTATACCACAGAAAGTAGCTTAACTACAAGTGAGAGAGTGAGCAATAGCCACTGAGGTATCTGGCAACCAAGTGGCTAGCTTACCAATATAGCCAGTGTCATATAATCAAGTTTTACTTGGATTTCTACATTTTCTCTTTACAGTGAATGGATATTTAATCGACTCGAGTTTAAGGAATTGTTATCAGGAATAGTGTGGCCTGTTTGAAATTGTGTACACGTGTCTTTCAGACACAGCTGGGAAAACATCATGTAATGTTTAGTGAAAACAAGCCGTTAAGAGCAGGCCCTTTATCCTTGGGGGGGGTCTTTGATAAAGCATGTTTAGATAGTGAACATAAATGGCTTGCTAGCTGTTCTTCGCTCTTCTCGTCTTTTCGGCAGGCACTGTAGTGTACGGAGAGCCCATCTCGGCCAGCTTGGGCACAGACGGCACTCACTATTGGAGCAAAAACTGGGCCAAGGCTGCTGCTTATGTCACATCTCCACCCCTCAGCCCGGACCCCACCACCCCAGACTATCTGAACTCCCTGCTGTCCTGGTGTGTGCTGTATATTTGTCCCATTTCTCTGGCCCCCTGTCATAATTATAAGTGCAGTGGCGTGCATGCATACATGTAGCTGATGCAGTGGGTTATGTAGGACAGGTTCTGAGCGCTAGAGGGAGCCATTTATCTTGATGTGACACAAGCTGTGTCTTGGAAAAAGCTACCAGTCCCGTTATCACATCTTGCAAAATCATTTGATGCTTAACGGAAAATTATATTTAAAGCTCTTTATTTGTGCAGTTAGCATTTATTTGCTCAGAAAAACACACATTAGAATGAATACAAATAAAGATTGTCAGAAATTATGATTTTATGCTTTATGATATATATATACATATATACATATATATATATATATATATACATATATAAGCAAAACATAGTGAATGTATAGTGAAAAAAAATGAATGTTTTGTTTCACTAGTGAAAGTAACTCTTTTCTGTTGATTGTCTCTGTGGTGTTCAGTGGTGATCTGCAGGTAACTGGCAGTGCTCACTGCACCTTTAACACCTCTCAGCGTGCCGTGGGCAAAGACAACTTCACCCTCATCCCAGAGGGCACCAACGGCACTGAGGAAAGAATGTCCATAATCTGGGACAAGTGTGTGGTGAGCATGAATAGGTGTTCTACAATGTTGTTTTAACAACCCACACCTTCTGTTTATCCTAAATGTAATGCAGCTTGGGATTGCCAGGAGAATCTGAATGTTTTAGACAGACAGTTGAACTTTAATTAGATTATTGTTTGTATTCACTATTATGCACAACTACCTAAACAATACGCATGTGTTAAATTTACTGAAATTAACTTTAATGTATTTACAGTAGCTTTATTCTTGAAACAGATGCATGTTCATGTTCACAGGTGACAGGTAAGATGGATGAGAATCAGTTTGTGGCTGTGACCAGCACCAACGCAGCCAAGATCTTCAACCTTTACCCCCGTAAGGGCCGCATCGCTGTGGGCTCAGATGCTGACTTGGTGCTGTGGGACCCTGATGTCACCAGAATTATTTCTGCCAAGAGCCATAACCTGGTGAGAGCACATACACGCACATACACACATACACTGAGGCCCTGATCTTACTTAGTATTAGCCTCCGTCTAAACAATAGTGCCTGGCGTGTCCAGGTATCTCAAATGCATCTACAGTAACTGCTTTTGATCAGATTTTGTGACTGCACATTTAGCACGTCAGTCTCCTGCTATGTTTTTCTTGTTCTTGTATATGATTTGGCTGTTATAAACATCTAAAACAAATGAAAAAAGGTAGTTTTACTTTTACTATGTTGCTACAGATATTTAGTTTAGCTCTTTTGTTTTATGTTAATAAATGTATTTCTGCTATTGTCTCGTCATTTTATTTTATTTTGCAAAGTTTTGAATGTACATACACTCCAAACTTTTGGCCTGTAGTGTATGTACTGTCTACTATCTCTCATACACAGATAGCACATTCCCTTATACCTGTCTAACAAGACAGGTATAAGGAGAAACTTGAATACTTGAATACTGCTGCTTATCTTTGATACAGGTCAGCACTATATCTGTACTTTGTTCATTCTTTTGTCCAACATCTTTCTTAAAACAGCACAGCAGTACAAATACTCTTCTCATTTTTGACAGCTGGGCAAAGTGTCACATGCTGCTAGTGTTGCTGGGCCCTCTGTAGATGTCCGTTAACATTGTTAGCGTGATGAGGTCAGGCCTGGTTCTGGCACTGTCTCTCTCTCTTCGCTGGCCTCTGTCATGTCCCACTGACTCACCATCACTGTCCACTTGGGTCTGCTGGTCAGGCTGACTCTTAGCGGCTACTGTGATTTCATTTGCTCAGAGCTGTTGAAATGCAGACTCCATCAAATACAGACAGACTGAATTAGTGCATAGATGTACCGTACACTGGAAAAATATACATCACCGTAATTAAGTTAATGAACCAGGCAAGCTATTAATCAAAAGCAGTTATGTATTCAAATTCAGATTCTGTTGGATGGATGTGGTTAGACAAGCCTGTTCCACCTCAATTATGTTTCAATTAGTTTGTCATTTATATGGCTAAAGTCTTTGCTTCTGTCTGTTCACTGCTTTTTATTTCTGTCTCACTCTCTCTCTCTTTCTCTCTAGGCAGTGGAATATAATATCTTTGAAGGTGTGGAGGTGCGTGGCGCTCCCTTGGTGGTGATTAGTCAGGGCAAGATTGTGCTGGAGGACGGAAACCTCCACACCACCGAAGGCTCGGGGCGTTACATCACCCGCAAGCCCTTCCCTGATTATGTCTACAAAAGGATAAAGGCTCGCAGCAGGGTGCGTCTTCATCTCTCTTTTGTCATGGCTCCATTCCAGATTCTTTGTGCCAAAATATAGAACCAAGAACATAAAAATATTATGAGTAGAGATTAGTTACTATAAAGTTTGTTCACAGTGTCAAACTGTGCAATATTGGTATCACAGAATTTGCATATCAGTGTGCAATTTATGAAAAATACATTTTATTGTACGCTGTAGGGTCTAATCATATGCTGCTTGTTAATCAGTAGTGCGATATTTGCCTTTGTGATACTGATATGAAGAAGACTGCAGTATTTAAATATGCTCTCTAACAAATTCCAGTATTTTGCTCTGTTTCTGTGGGTTTTTGAATGAATTAAGGCCAGTGTTTAAGTGTCCCATTTGTGGGTCTTTACTGGGTTTTAATACATTGCACTGGACATTGCAGTTATATCTGGTGGTATGATGATGTTACATTTAGTTCATGTCATGCAGCTCTAGTAATCCAAGAAATGTCCTGATAGATTTAAGGCATTCCTTTGTTATCTGGGTTTTTTGATGAATGTACAAATCCTAAAATTACATACATAATTCATCTTGCAATGCAGGTTAAGTCTTAAAATGTGTAATTTACCTATACTGTACAGCTCTAGTTCAAACATGCATATTGTCACTGTTGGAAGAAAACCTTGTTTCTCCATTTTTTTTTCAGAATTTAAACTGTGTGTTACTGTGTGTTAAAATGTATTGATGAATGGACCAACAGAAGTGCTCCAAAACTACTTGGGGAAAAAAAATTGTTCTGTTATTCCATTCAAAGTTTAGAGAGTTTTTCCTTTCCCTGTAAAGTTACTATTTTGGAGATACAAGTTTTTGTCGCAGCAGTGACAATATGCTTATAAGAGCGTATATTTAAGAATAATACATCTATTGTTTTTGAAGAGCAAAGTTATCATTTTATGTCTAGTAGTAAGACTGTCTATTCTGTCCTCAGCTTGCTGAGCTGCGTGGGGTCCCGCGTGGTCTCTATGATGGTCCGGTGTGTGAAGTTACTGTTACCCCTAAAGTAATGACCCCTGTCACCTCCAACAAGGCCTCTCCAGCCAAACCCACTCCTCAGCCCGTCCGCAACCTTCACCAGTCTGGATTCAGCCTGTCTGGTCAGATGCTTGACAAAATCAGAACCTTATGCCATTCTAATTTTCATAAGGCAAAGCATTCATTTCATAGTTTCTTCACTCCACGTCTCACATTGAGTCAATATATTTTACTTTCTTTCTTTTCCTTCAGGAGCTCAAATTGATGACAACGTTCCTCGCCGTACCACCCAGCGCATTGTGGCGCCCCCCGGTGGCAGGGCCAATATCACCAGCCTGGGTTAGATTCCCCATGTGCCCAACCCAGCAAGGAAGGGGTGGGAGGGGGTTAAGAGAACCATGGGCCTTTGATGGGCTCTGGTACCACTCCTACCAACTGGACCCCCACCAGGCCCCCTGCAAGCACACCTCCAGCTCCCCATATTATGCATCCTCCAATTCACCCCACACCTCTCCTCACTCCATTCACTCCATTTTTCTCCCCCCACATTCAGGCTTCATTCTGAAAATGCATTGTTTAATTTTCAGCGTTCGACACAGCCGAGGCATTAGCCTGTATTTCTCAACACTACATGCGTACTGCTCCTCAACCACTTTTATTTCCTTGTAGGAAGAGTCAAGTGAATCAAAACTGAATTTATTATTTATTATTGTTTATTGGGACACAAATCATACAGGAAAAGGTCTTGTTCCTAATTATAGTTCAGTCAGTTGTGTCCATTCCACTCAAAACGTCGACAAATCGGCAAAAGCCTAATCGTTCAGACGTTTTTAGAATGCTGTTTTATGAGGAATTCCGTTAGCTAGGTGTTATTTTGCTGTCTCTTATGTTTTTTATTGTGCTGCCAGCACTCTTACAGAACATTCACTTTGGTCTTCCTCTTGCCTCACATTTATGCACTTCTGTACTTGCATTTCGGGACACCTTCTTGGCATTATTTCTTTTTATTTTCACTCTGAGAAAAAAAAACAAAAAAAGTAACGCCTCAGTCATTTTAAACAGGTTGCTTTGGTCTAAGAGAACTTGGCTAATATCAGCAGTTTTAGGGTTAAACCATTCACCACCTCTCACTCTTTTCACAGTGTGGGGGGTTCACTATAGACACACAATACAGTTTGGGCAACTATTGGCTGAGTGAAAGGAGAAAACAAAAAAGACTGGAGCCCTATTTACTGCTTTTGCCCCTTTTACAGATGCACCCCCCCACACACACATCTCTAGTTGTCAATGGGTTAGAAGGTTACCGTGGCAACTGCCCATCAACACTTGGCACGGCTGTTTATTGGACACGACAGCTGTGCTGTGGGTGGGTAGTGCCCCTCCTCTCTCTACGCCAGGTGCTATTTGATCGGCGCTGCTGATGTGGGAATGGCCAATGCACGCCTGTCCCACAATATCACAGCCTGTACCGTTTTGTCCACAGCCCCACCACAGGGGTGCGCTTAGTCATCACGAAACTCCCTCACACAACCCCTAACAGGATAAAGCTCTCCCCCATGACCTTTACTGTAATGACATTTTTTGTGGCTTCTGCATCGACCATAGTAATCTCCAAAAAAAAAACAGTTTCGTCTGGCATGTGTAGAATTGATCCTGTGGAGATAAGATGTTGATTTGACTTATCTGTTTAAAAGAATGTTTTTTTTTAAACTCTGCTGTTTTTTTTAACGTCACATTCACTTGCCTGCCTGTTCGCTAGATGATACAGTTCTTAATGACTGTCTGTGAGTATTGTTATAATGAGCTAAGCATTTCTCATGAAAAAAAAAACATGTACAGAATTCATCCCTCTGCCTCGTTCCATCCGTTGAATGAAATGCCGTTGGAGGCTCTGGCTTCAGCTGTCAACTTCCACATAAGTGATAGCAGATTCCTTAACAGAGATGTTAATCTGAGCTAGCAGGAAAATGTTAGAGAAGACTAAACAAACCCACATCAGCACTAGATATCCCTCACACACTTTTGTGCAGTATTACTCCTCACCTTTTTACACAGACAACCCTTTTATGCGCTTGGGAAAAGTCGCCCTGAGCTGTAACTCCGTCCCATCTCGGTTAACTACTCACAAACACCTGTTTGTAAATCAGTGGTATATGCTAATCAGTGAGCGGAGCTGGTAGTCTGGTGCCAGTTTCGTACTACACTCCTCCAACTTCCATGCCTTGTCATCTAAGGATATGAGTTTCTGCTAGTTGTGATGTCTGTGGATTGCAGAGGGGGAAGTATATTTTAGTGTCTTTTTTATTTTTATGACTTGTTGTTGCCCTTTGCCATCCATTGTTGAAGGTAAAAAATGTTGACAGTGTATGTTTTGTAGGCTATTGGGATCTGTGAAGGTTTTCTCTCTCTGAAAGCTTTGTGTCCCATAAGTGTTTAATGAAATGATTTTAAGTATTAAAAAATGGAACAAAAGTTCAAGTCTTCTGTCTGCTTTATTTGATCTACATGAGGGTCACTGTGCTTAGTAAATGACATAACTTGGAATATATTTTGTAGCTGTACAATCTGTAAGGACCATTTGTATCCAGTTCAAGCTCTCTAGTTATAAATGCAAGCAAAGTAAGATTTAATTAAGGTCATGTTCATGGCTTCATGGCCATTTCTAAGGATTTCAGTAACTATAAATTACGCATAATTTACATCTGTGTCACTAATGATCTGCAGTACACTTGCAGTATTATGTCTGCACTCATGAGGGCGCCACAATTCTGCAAACTAGATTGTACAAGTCCATTTTAGACAAATCTACTCAAAGAACTCATCTTTATTGTTTTACATCTTGCACCTTACACCAATCAAAAGTGAATACATTCCAAACTATTATATAACAATCAAAAAAGATTATAATTTAAATTCTTCTAATTAGCCATGCTTCAATAGAGCTTGGCACACTCGATCATTCTTTCAAGCAGCTTTATGAGAAGTAATATGGGATGCTTTTCCACTTGTTTCTCAAAAGCTAACACTTTTTAGATTTTGGAAACTACTTGTAGAGGCATTTAAGTATAAGCCTTTAGATCAAAATGCCTTTAAGATTAGGAAAAAATGTAGAATCAAGTGTGTCCAAACTTCTGAATGGCCACAAAGGAAAAATGTTTCTCTAGAGAAACAAAGCAGATCTCACTATTTTATTAATGAAGGATCCCTGATTTGTGAATGATTTCTCATAACCCCTCCTTGGGAGAAAAGATGATCATTTCATTGTCAAAATTTCTGATGAATGAGAAAAGCTGGAGTTCTCTTTCTGCACTGATAGACTGCTGGAAGAGTTCTGTGATATATGATAGAGCTATATAAGAAAATTAGACCTTACATTTTTCTGCAACCCCACTTCAGAAAAAGTTGGGACGGTATGTTAATTAAAATTAAAACATTTAATAGTGATTTGTAAATTCTTTTTGGCCTGTATTACATTGAAAACACTTCAAAGGCACGTAAGTTTTTTCCCCGTGAATTTTATTATTTTTGCAAAATAAACACATTTTAATTCTGATTTTGTCCCATTCTTCCTGCGAACAAGTTTTAAGGTGTGCAACAGTATGGGGTCTTTGTTGATGCGTTTTGTGTTTTAAGATGTGCCACACATTCTCTACTGGAGACAGGTCTGGACTGCAGGCAGGGCAGTGCAGCACCTGCACCTGTGGTTTTGAGTTGTGTTGTTGAAATATGCAGGGGTGGCTCTGGAAAAGATGTCGTCTTGAAGGCAGCACTTATTGCTCCAAAATCACTATGTACTTTCAGCATTAATGGTGACATCACAGAAGTCTAAGTTATCTTTGCCAAGGGCACTGACCCAACCTCAACTGACCCAACCCAACCCTACACCATGACAGACCCTGGCTTTGGACTTGTTGCTTTAACAGTCTGGATGGTTTTCGTCTTTGGTCCGGAGCACACATTGTCCATTTCTTCCAAAAAAGACCTTAAATATTGACTCGTCTGACCACAACACTCGTTCCTGTGTGATGGTCCATCCCAGAGAAGTCGATGGCACGTCTGGACAGAAGTTAACACTGGTAACATAAGGCTTCCTTTTGGCACAGTAAGGTTTTAACTGGCATTTGTGGATGTCACTATGTGTTGTAATACCTGAGAAATGTGATTTTATCACTTGTAGAGGAATGACAGTTCTTGATGCAGTGCCACCTGTAGGATCAGAGAGCACAATTATTCTGATTAGGTTTGCGCTCTTGCACTTTACGCACTAAAATTCCTCCAGATTTTTTGAATTGTTTAATTACGTTAAGCACCGTAAATACTGAAATATCCAAATCCCTTCCTAGCTTTGTTTGGGGAGCACGGTTTTTAAACATTTCAAGAATTTTTTCATGCAAACTGGCGATCCTCAGCCCATCTTTGCTCCTAAAGGGCTTGGCCTTTCTTGGACGCTGCTTTTGTACCAAATCATGATTACAGTCACCTGTTGGCATCACCTGTTTCAAATCACATCTGTGTTTAATTATTTTACCTCATTACTAGCCCTAATTTGCCCCTTTCCTAACTTTTTTGGAATGTGTTGCAGGCCCGAATGGCAGGAATTGATGTATTTTTACAAATGAAATGAAGTTGAGCAGACAAAGCATGAAATGTCTTTTTGTCAAACTGTCTGCAGTGAAATATGAGTCAAAGTAAATTTAAAAAATCACTGCTTTCTTTTTTATTTGCATTTTCCGTACTGTCCCAATGTTTGTCTGATTTGGGGTTGTAATGTAAATATTATTATATAAATATATAGTAAGAGTTAATGCCTCTGTGAGACAACGTTTTGATCTGCATCTGCAAGTGACCAAATGGGTTGTTTCTCAGGAACTAAAATTCAGGAAACAGGTGAAAATTATTTAAGTCTCGCACTTATTTCAAGCAGGATGTATCCATGACTAGGAGAAGTGATTGAGATTAAGAAAATATCTTTTATAGAATGTTTCTTTCTCTGGGGCAGGTCTATTAAATCATGAATGGCTTTAATAAACATATGTGCCGCTTTCTGAAATGCCTCATTTTGTGCCTGTCACTCTGCAATTTCAACTGTAACTTAAAGTGGCCAATATCGGCTCAACTCTGAGCTGCTTGTGGAATGATTAATGCTAAAAGCAACACTGGTATATTAACCCATCACACAGTTTAAATGGATTTCATCAGCAGTGTTTGTAGAGCTTTTTCCTAATGCTGCCTAAACCTTAAAGGGGAATTGTACTTTTTAATTTTATGCATAATGCCATCTTTGAGCTGTGAACAAAGTCATTCAGTGGTTTGATATTGTTCAGAATGGTAAAACAGTGGTAAATCTAAAACATACATGGGTTATATATGTTTATATGTTTTCTTCTGGGACTATTTTGCCCTTGACTCTCTGTTTAAGTATATTAACATTTAGGCCACTTCTTTATGTCCATAATGGCTAACTGTCTCTGGCATCAGGCAGCGTATCCGCAACCATTTTGTCTAACAGCTCTGTGAAGTAGCTTTTAGGCTTTAAGGGCCTCAGACGTTTCTATCACCATCATTGTGATCAATTCTGAGTAAGTTTCTCTAGAACGGAGCATTTCACATCAAACCACTCTGAATGACACTGTCTTCATCTGAATAACAAATGAAGAAGACATTGTGTATAAACAGGCGATGCAGGTAATTAGGCTGAATGTTTAAGCCAACGTCTCTGCTGCAGCCGCTCGCGAACACAAGCCGACGGTTAGCTGATCAGCCAATTTAGTTTCTTCTAGTTCCTGTCCTCACAGTTATTGTCTCGAAACATTTTAACAGACTTATGATAATCACCAATTTAAGCTTCTGTTCATTTATCGTGACCCATCGAGACTAAAGGAACTACATGTAACACTGACCGCAAGCGTTAAAACGAATACTGCGGTCCAAATTCGGTCCAAGGAGAGTTGTCTGTCTCGCCCCCTTCTCCCCTGACTCGAAGCTGGGTTGCCAGATTGAGGACACCGAATTTACACAAACGAGCGCAACGTTAAACTTTGGCAAGCGACAGTAATACACTGTAAGATGATCCGCTGATGTGTGCGTTTGCAATGTTTTTGTTGTTTGCTTTTTATAAGAAATTCTCAACACATTTCCCTTAATTGAATGGTGCATTAAGTGGATCTTTACCTAAAAAAAGTAAGGGGCCATCATCAAAGTGTGTGTCCTTATGTACAAGTCTTGTTCTGAACGTCAAAATCTCAAAAGTGTCTATACTGTAGGCCCAGCTGAAAACCAGGGAACTTAAGACCTTCCTGTTATTGTAACATAGGCTACTACAGCAGCAGAACTTGAATAGAGGATTGTGTTGATTTATGATTGATTACTATTCTATATGCATAAAATAAAAAAAATAGTAGCTTCTTTATTGTAGGGCCTAAACATGTAAAACCAACTACAGCAAGTCAAAAATTCTAGTTTTAATTAATGTTTTAAACATTAAAAAAATAAAAGGCCTATAATTTTATGGCCAAATGCATTAAAGTGTGTCCTATTATTGCAACTTACTACAAGTAGAATCTGAAGTGTGGTAAAGTTTAATGTATTTTTCATACACTATAATCTTTATGGCCTCAGTCTTTTCTGTGGCACGTTAAGCTACTTGTGTTTCGAAGTCAGGTTGGAAGATGATCCGCTGATGTGTGCGTTTGCAATGTTTTTGTTGTTTGCAAATTTGAAAAAAAAAACAGCTTATGTGGATTTTTATAACTCTGTACACTATCCTAAACACAAAAGCTCCGAAAATACTCGCTGCCTTGAATTAAGTTTAAGTCAGCTCGCCAGCTTTTTGTCCAGATTTTTGCATTCTACCTTAAATGGTGCAACAGTTACATTCTGGCACCTCAGCCTATTATTGTTCGAATTTTCCTGTTCCACCTTAAACGGGAATTTTACGGTGGAACGGAAAATTCGAACAAGAAGTGGTGAACAAGCTGTCCATCCGTAGACCTTTTTAGATGGATGGAGAGGCTTATTAGTGTTTTTAGGACCAGCTTTGTTTGCTTGCTTCCATGGCCGGAGCACGCAGTGTTAGCCCCCCTGTTTGTTTCATCTCTGGCAACCCGGGGTGTCGAGTGGTAGTGGGAAATGGGCAGTGGGCGGAATCACAGGCCGAAACGCAAACACAGTTTACGCTCCGGAGCAGAAATTCCAAAGGAGAACATACTGTGTTATATAGTTGGTGAAGCCAGTATTTCAACTTGTCTCCTTGCATGTCTCCTTAATTTTTGATGACACGATCATTAAGATTTAGTTAAGTAAATATATTTTATATTGTTCATTTAATGTCAGGTAGGCCTAATAGTTAGATCCATGTGTCTTTAGTCAGCCTGGATAGCATGGGTTATCCTGTAGCAAGAGGTTTGCTACATATTGAAAGAGGTTAAACTGATGGAAATTTGTTATTCTTTTCGTTTTTTTTTAAATTGCCTCAGACAATTCTTGTGGTGAGTTTGCTAATAACATTAACTAACAACTAGCTAATATTAGCTAGCCTTATTTCACTTCTGAAGTTAATGAAGATGCAGTAATGTTTTTAGTTCAAGTATCTTTCGCTTCTGCTTGTATTCTCAGTGTAAGGGTATATCTAGGGCACTTTTGACCAATGAAATAATTGGTCTTGACTCTGTTTTTTCATTGTGATTGACTCGAGAGAGAGCATATAACGAGATTTTCATTTACATATTCCTTCTTCACAAAAAACAAGATTACTACACTATTTCTTTTTGTTTTAGTTGCTTTTTATAAGAAATTCCCAACACATTTCCCTTAATTGAATGGTGCATTAAGTGGATCTTTACCTACAAAAAGTAAGGGGCCATCATCAAAGTGTGTGTCCTTATGTACAAGTCTTGTTCTGAACGTCAAAATCTCAAAAGTGTCTATACTGTAGGCCCAGCTGAAAACCAGGGAACTTAAGACCTTCCTGTTATTGTAACATAGGCTACTACAGCAGCAGAACTTGAATAGAGGATTGTGTTGATTTATGATTGATTACTATTCTATATGCATAAAATAAAAAAAATAGTAGCTTCTTTATTGTAGGGCCTAAACATGTAAAACCAACTACAGCAAGTCAAAAATTCTAGTTTTAATTAATGTTTTAAACATTAAAAAAATAAAAGGCCTATAATTTTATGGCCAAATGCATTAAAGTGTGTCCTATTATTGCAACTTACTACAAGTAGAATTTGAAGTGTGGTAAAGTTTAATGTATTTTTCATACACCATAATCATTAGTTTCTTTACTCTAGGGCCTCAGTCTTTTCTGTGGCACGTTAAGCTACTTGTGTTTCGAAGTCAGGTTGGAGACATAACAGTGCATACATTCACAGTTTTATGTGTAAGATTTGAGAATCTTGTGTCAACTTTTGGCAGTAGTAACTGTTTTCGCTACACCATGATTACAGATATTTCGCAGACATCGTCAGTCAAAACAACAGCAAAGATTATTTAAAATTGTGATTACATTGTATGTGTAACTATTTTAGTAACAGGACACTATTATTGTGAACCTGTTTTGATGTTTCGTACTTTTTTCAACCCGTCCTAGTTTCCAGCATTTTTCAGCACAAAGTGACACGATGGCTACTACATCTGTAGTGCACTACCTGTCCAATAGAAAGCCTGTTTAGATGCACATATGGACACCAGGGCATTAGCAATGGCTCATATATGTGCACAGCATAAGGTGGTTAGTTTCGTAAGTGTGTTGGATTCTGCCTTGTGGCAGATATACAGTAAATGCCCAATTAAGACACAGGTGGCCAGTCGGGTCATTATAATTGCTAGGAGCTGAAGAGAGCGAGAGCACAGGGGGCAAACTGCCTCCCACACACAAGAGCAAAACAGCAGCCCCCCACAAATTCAAATCAATATGCATCTAGCAGAGCCTTGTACATGGTGAGATAGCCATGTCTTCCCCCGCAAAAGCCAGGACTGAAACACAGGCAACTTTGATTTGACCTTTTGACCTCCTCCTCTTTTCCTACAGCTCGGCCTCTGCACAGACCATTTAGTGACACTCTATCACATGATTTGTGACTATGCACTGGCCACACAATAGTCTCTGGGATTATTTAGCACTGAAAGTGGGTGTGTGACAAATGTTGGTGTGTCTTTTCATTGATTGATAGGGACTGGGCAGCCAGCGGAGTGTTTGGTTTCCGCAGAGATTCGCAAGAAATATGAGTCTGGTGGCTTAAGCGCGCCGACATTAGAGATCCATGGAACAGGATAAGCTATCTCAGAAGATTAAAACATTCAGAGAAGGGTTGTTTTTGTCTGTTGGGTCAATATGGTAGGCTACATTAGGCAGCCATGGTCATCTTTCTGAGCCTTTGTGGGCTGTAGTGTTTCTCATGCGCTCTATGTTTGGAGCAGATCTCACAGAGGGCCGAATGAAACATCTCTCTGAGTCCCGTGAGAACACTGTTTGTCTAGATTCCAGCAACCTTGGGGTGTCACCCCAATGACACACAGGAGGAAGGCATATATGAAACGACACGTTTATGATTTTCCCTTCATGCGCCAACAGATTGCTGAAAGGCCGAGTGTGTTCTTCACTCCCTGGAGCCCTGGAGATGTTAACCTCGATTAGAAACATTCATTTCGCATGGAGCACCTCCCCATATCTCCTGTGTTTCCATTCCATTGTGAAAACACAGGAATGGAATACAAAAGGCAAGTGGTCAGAGAGGCATGGCATCGCTCTCATGTGGTTGCAGCTTTTTACTTATTCCTCACTGCATCATTTCTTGGAAAAGCCCACGGGTCTCAAATGATGCACTTATTACGTTACTCGATCTATTCAGCGTTTCCATCCCTAGGCTCATGTTGCGTTAAATTTACATTTTTAAGTATGTTTTTGGCCCAGCACCAGAGCCTTTACTCAGAGAGAGAGCAAGCGAAAGAGAGAGAGGTTGATCTGAAGTGTAGATGGCTGCTGGAAGACGAATTGACGTCAGAACAGAGGCTCCAAGAATATCACTGCAGAACACAGGTGGGTGTCACACCATTTTGTTTGTAGTGTCCTGATCAAGACTGACTCAGTCTCACTCGCTCTCATTTTATCTTTTGCCTTGCACTCTCCCTCCCTCAGGATGGGCTTGAATTGGTGTAGACAACAGGGAGGAAAGTGCTGGCTTAGCGAGATCACCGGACCATCTAGAAGTAGCAGCTCTGTCTTCTGGTAAATCACTCAGAAATGAGCTGCTCCATAAACTAGACTCTATAAAAATACTTTTTTAAGCACTGCCATAAATCACAGCTGTCCATGACAAGATTTATTGGGCCCTTACTGACCACAATGAATTTTAAAAAAAGGTTATTTTTTGTCTTTCTGTTTGGATGTATGTGTGTTTAAGCTTCAGGGAAAAGCATATGGATGGCCTTTGTCCAAATAAATGGGTGTGTGCATTTATATTCAGTATGTGTGGGTACAGTACTGTGCAAATGTCTATGGTGCCCAAGAAAATGGTTTAAAACTATTCATCTGGCCAGTAAGTGTGTTGAACACTATATTAGAATAAATGCAAATAAACATGAATACAGTAAAATGTAAAAATAGATTGGTTAGAAGAACAGTTAGAGTTAGAAGTACACGGGTTTGGTTCCTGACTTCTTGCTGCACAAAGCTCTTGAATAGATTCATTAATTTCGATTAGCAGCACACCTTCATTAAATTAAATATTTCATCAAGGATCAATTTATTGAACCAGGTACCGGATGGTAACTGTAATTACGGGGCTTCCTCAAAGAGATGTTTGGAAACAAATAAATGCTTGCCAGATAAATAGCTTTACATATTGTTTTCTCAGAGTCTGAGACTTTTGCACAGTACTGTATGTGTGCATGTTTGAATGAAAACAGGGAGTTGAAAAAAATCTTTGACAGGAAAATCAGTAAACAGGATTAACCTACCACAGAAGGTCCAACAAACCCGTCCTGACTTCGTAAAGTGCTTTTTAAAACTAAAAAACTAAATGTTTTTTTTTTCTTAAACTAGTTTTTTTCCCACATTGTTTTAAAAAAACTGACAAAAACATTTTTTTTGTTACGGAGGTTAAACTTAGGGTTAGTTTTGTTGTGTGGGTGTATTGAAAACTTGAAGAATTCTCAGCGCCATCGTTTTTTTTGAGATGGACTTAGAGGTCAAAAGGACGTTCTTGCATTCTCACAAACAGCAATCAAAATGCTTCTGGAAAAACTCATTCCACATCACTCCATAATCCCGTTTTCCTTAAAGAGGAAAGACTGAAGAACCCTAGAATGGGAAAGAGTATCTTTGTGTGGATTGAAAATCGCTGACGATCTGTTTTATTGCAGCCTTGTAACTTTAAACATCTGTAGACATTTCTCATACTTGACTGGCATATCTAACATGCTGAGATGCAGAATTTTCCCAAGTGTCAACAACATCGGATTTGGTTGGAATAGTTGAACTCTGACCCCACTGTAACGTCAGGGGACATCTCAGCAATTCTCACAGTGGGATATTTCCGAAATCTGCTGGCTGGGGGTGGAGGAGAAATTTGGAGATAGTTTTCCAAAACTGCTCCCAAAGCGCTTTGAGTATGAACTGGCATCCATGACAGAACACAGAGTTTATGACTGCATTTATCTCATTCGATGAAACACTGAACAGAACGTGGTAAAAGGAATTTGGTCTCGTTAATAGAAAAATACTTATTACATTAATACATTGTAAATACATTGTTCTTAGGATTAAGGTTTAACATCCATACATTGTGAATGCGTGTGCGTATCCCAGGCTCTGTTTCAAACACTGGGCCTTTGGAATTGTCAGAACAGAAAAAAATGTCCCATGCATGTAAATGTTCATAGTATTTGTACTGTAATGACGTTTCATATCATTTTCATACACATAAATCAAAGACCAGGTGCAGTCCTGCTGAAGTCCATTTCTTGTGCGTCCAACGAAACTTGAGGTGAGGCGAAGTGAGGTATTAAACCTGGTTTATCTTTTATATTAAAACATTTTAAATACTCAAGACACATAGGTTTATAGGCATATCTGTTCATTATACCATTATACCAGAAATTAAAACAATACACATTCATCATTTCAGGCATGTATAAATTTTTTCACTGAAAACAACAGTTCACTTTTTGTGCAAATGTGCAAAGCTGATGCAAAACGCCTGTCAATCAAACTGATTGATAGTATCCTCATATCCCCTTCCCTGGATACACAGTGTGGTCCCAGAGCCCCTCTTTGTCTGAAGAACATTGATGTGCATCGTAGGCTTTCTCTCTGAATGAGTGCACATCCTCGTCTCCATTGAATGGCTGCCAATGTTTGCCTCCACTGTTGATCTTGATAACAGACCAGTCTCACTCAGAGGCATTTCTGTGTTTATCCGGTTCCATATCAATTCAGTTTGTCCGTCACATTGTCTTACAAATAGGCACAACACACAATGCAAACATTAGAAGAGCTGTTTGTCTTCAAGACATTTCACCAGAGTACGTTTTTTATCACACCATAAAATTTCCAAGAAAAATTGCACAGAATATTAAAAAAGAACCAACTGTTGTTTAAATTGTCATTTTTGGGTTTGATTGATATATGTGGTGAAACATTAGTTGAATCATAAGCTTATTTTAAGTAATAGAAATTATACACTTATATTATGCAACAATGTAGCAGAAACATGTGTACTCTACCCTTGCTTCTGTCTTGGTTTTACTGATAGATCATGCTTCCTTTAGTCTGGTACATAGGTTTTGATAACAAGTGTGCACACATTGTGATGCATAACCCTTTAAAGTCGCAGTTATCTTCGGTCATAACAAAAACATGGTGTAATTCCATATTAATAATGATTTCTTCCTCTTGTTGACAACTGGAGACTTTCTGTCAAAAGTGGATTCTAAACTCTCAATCGATACCATATTTGTGTTCATAAGTCAAAAAGGAGATATTTATTATGATTATATTTATAATATTGTCATTTTAAAAAGTTATTGTTCATGCAATCATTTTGCAGAAAGAAACCCATTGTTTACATTTTTGCCATGGTCTTGTAATTGACATTGAAAGTCAGACTGAGAATCTGTCACTAGAGAATATAAATTAAATGTAACTCTGTACTTATTTGCATTTAAATAATATAGCAAAACACGGTAGTAACTCTGTGCGTGCAATTATTAATAATTTAATATTGCAAATTAATGTTTTCACCATTAAAGGACAGATATCAACCAAACAATTCCAAAATTATGTCATAAGGTGTCAAAAGAACAGTTTCATGCTTGAAAATATTCTGTGCTCGTATTGATTGAAAATTTATGGTGGAGAAAAAAGATACTTCACACTCCACAGTTTACACTGCGTCCCCGTTCTCACACAGCGAGAGCTGATGGATCTTAATGATGGGCAGAGAGCTGCTGGGTGGCTGAGTGCGAGTTGGTTCCGTTCCTACGCAGCAGCACGTCCTCAGCAGGTTTTTACTGCACACCCCGGCCACTTTAGCCCCAGCATTCACCCTGACTGAGGAGGCCCGGGATGTGGGCTGCCACTCGCGGCCATCCCGGGACGAGGGCGAGCGGGACAGGGCCATGGAGGAGGACGGGCTGAGGCGGGATGAGTAGGGGCGGCCCTCCAGGCCCAGGGAGAGGAGCTGTGCCTGGCCATGGCCTGCAGTGTGGCCTTGGCAGAGTGGCTGGGTGGGTGTGGTCCTGCGCCGCAGGCAGTGCACTCCCAGCACGCTCAGGAAGGCTTTCTTAAACTCCTGACTGGAGCAGGGGTAGATGATGGGGTTGATGCAACTGTTGAAGTAACCAAGCCAGAATGTGATCTTGAAGACCGTGTCTGAGGGTCTGTAGGCTGGGAAGATGGAACCTGGTGGAACACACACAGGATACAGACATTAATAGTTTATTCTCCGATCAGTCTCTAGTTAATTCATTTTGTGAAATTGGATTGAAGGATTTTTCATGATCATCTTAAAACCTATCAACTTGTCAGGCCTTGAAGAGAAGCATTAAGAGACAGAACTTTCTAATTATGAAATTTTCTTTAGGCAGTGGAAAATTACTTAAGACCTGCAGACAGATTGTGAAGGCTTTCCATTATGATAGCAAAAAATTGCATGACATTGTTCCACAGCACTCAAAGAATGTCTGCAAAGTTCTGAATGAGATGAAAAAGAGGTGCGATTGACTGAGCCTGATTGAATCCTCATGTTGGCTGGATGACTGTGTGTGGTGATAGATTGCGCTCAGAGAAAAAAGGGAAAACAATGATCAGAAAAATCAGAAAGGCTTACATGCACAAATGTACGGAGCCCCGGAGGCGACGGAGGTAAAAAAATAATAATAATTCGAGTGAACGTTTTGTAGTTCATACGCACGTTTTCTCTTATTCGTGGTCACGAATAAGAGAAAACGTGACCTATTCGTGGTCACGAATATGAGAAAACGTGAAGAGAAAACGTTAATCGTGCGTACGTTTTCTTTACTTTGTGGGTTCGTTTTTATTTTATTTGTGATCACGATTTTCTAATTCATTCTCTCGTTTTCTCTTAACCGTGGTCATATTTTATTTTTAACCGAATGCACGTTGTTTGTGATTGATAACAGCTCCCTGAGACTGTCTGACGGGTTTTGATGAGTTAGATTGATGAGATAATGGACAGAGATGCTCATCAGGTCTGATTTTGATTTGGGGGTTTATGAGGAAACTGCAGCTCCTCTTCACAGCAAACAGCCCACAGTGTTTCTGCTCTCGCGTCAAGCTGCGGTGTTAGAGACCATCAAACAATTACAGGACGAAATGATCAGCGTTTCAACATCCTCACATTAATATATCTACATCTAATCCATAGATCTATTAAACTCTCACGCCATTTGACCTCATCCCACATGAATGTGTCTGTGTGTGTTTAATTTGAGTTTGTTGAAACGTTGACGCTGATCATTTCTTCCTGTAGTTGTGTGATGGTCTCTAACACCGCAGCTTGTTGCGGGAGCAGAAACAGCTCTAAGCGTCTATATCTCTGTTAAATATGATCATTAGACAGTGCAGTTTAGTGAAGATTGTGGTTGTAGTTTATTGTCTTCCTTTATTTCACCACCAAACTGCAGCTCCACTGATGAATCTGAGGGCCGTTTGCTGTGAAGACTAGCTGCAGTTTCCTCATATCAAAGTCAGACCTGATGAGCATCTCTGTCCATTATCTTATCAATCTAACTCATCAAAACCTATCAGACAGTGTCAGGGAGCTGTTATTTACTTCTGCACCGGACAAGAAACACGACCTGTATCTACAACACTGATTTTGCGCACGAATCAAAAGAATAAACAACGTGCGTTCAGTTAAAAAACAAAGCATGACAATGCTTAAAAGAAAACGAGAGAACGAATTAGAAAATCGTGATCACGAATAAACAAAAACGTACCCGCGAAGTAAAGAAAACGTGTGCACGTTTAAACGAAAACGAGGGAACGATTTAAGAAATCGTGACCACGAACAAAGGAAAACGTGCGTACGAACTGCAAAACGTTCGCTCTAATTATTTTTTTTTACCTCCGTCCCCTCCGGGGCTCCGTATAAATGTGATAAAGTGATGTTTTGTACCTGTTTTTGATGTTTTTATCCTGTCTGTTTACTTTAGGAAGGAAAACCACAACAAATAATGGATATTCCAACAAGCCAGCATAAGATTCCACGCAGTTCAATGAGTGAAATTCAGGCATGATTTAAAACCTGTTGAGGTCTTGTGGTGCTATGCTGGGAAATGAGTGTAGGTAAAAAGGTAAAAACAGTTTGAGAAACAATTCCTTTCAATCATTAATAAAAAGAAAGAAAGTATGACAAAGTAGTGTAAAGTTGCCTTCAGTACTAAAAGACCTACCAAATGCTGATAAACACTATAAACTGTTAGTCTGTGTTTCCTATTTTGCTTCATATTTTGGTTTGTCAGTGATCATTAATGGAGTTTTGGAATAATTGAAGTTTGGGGGAGGACAGGCCTAAAACCACTCCTCCTTCCAATCTAATACCCTATAAATTTCCATCTCTACATTCCGTTTCCTGTGATGACGTTTTCGAATGCCCACCTCCATCTCCTCCCTGTTCCTCAGTTCTACACTAAAGATGGTTCTTCAAGGGTTCTTTAGTAAAGGGAATGGTTCTATTTAGAACCGTGAGTTCTATATAAAACCATTTCATGCTTAAATGGTTCTTTGCATGGTGAAGTGTGTTGCATATGGTTCTATATAAAATGGTTCTATATAGCACCAAAAAGGGTTCTGCTATTGATATCGTAACAACAGACAAACCCAGATATTGGAAAATGGTGATGTAAAAATGAATGATGACTGTTTTTGGTTCAAACGAGTAAACAGAATAACTACGTCCATCAACTCTGATTAGAGTTCTAGCAACAACAGTGAACTACAGCAACACTGAATCGAAAGTAAAAATATTTTTAAATTATGTTTATGCTAGTAATTACTGTAGTCATGCACTAATGATATGCCTATGGTCATTTTGGCCAGAATGTCACTGCTGTAGAAACACAACTTTGTATGTCCAAAATGTTTTCATAAAGTCACAAAAATGCTATGAGTGGACAACAATAAAACACAAGAAAAATGTAGGATATGAGTGTGTAGAGAATGCTTCCCACATATTCTTCACTGCTGTCCACACACCATCCAATGTTTAGATTTCTCTTCTTTAGCCCCTCAAGACCTCAGTGTTTTTTGAATTGTGGATAAACACGTCAAAAACATTTGCTAAACATCAGTGTATGGTGCACACAAATGTACATGAGCAATCCTCTGCCAGTGTACGTCACTGAGAGCACAAATGTCTACAAGTCACTCTCCTATGACATGAAAGCCCAACAAGTCATGCATCATATTTCAACTGCAGTCTTTTTATATTGTCCTCTATGCTTCACAACTCATCTCTTAATCAAGGTCAATGGTTTGCTTTCAAATGGTCCTCGTAAAACAGAGCAGGGTAACGGTTGTGGAGCTTAAAGGGCACGTATCATGAAAAAAACTAATTTTGCTCTGTTTTTTAAATAACAGGATGTAAACACTATTAAAGTTTAAAAACATACTGTTCACTCCCCAGTCTATATAGTACATATATAGAAACTAAGCTGCAAAAAAATCATTAATTCATTGTTTTTCTGATGTCCCTACACCAGCACATTCATATATACTTACAGCAATGTAGCCCCGCACATGCATATAGTCTTAAAGGCACAGTAACAAAAACAGCTTGTCGAATAATAAGGGATATAAATAAAATTAATATTGATTAAATGCTTAGAATTCAGACTTTCAACAGAATGTTTCTGCTTGTTGCAGTGAACTACTAGTTAATAACAATATGCATTACAATATGCTTGTGCTGAAAAAAAAGTGCCTTCTGTGAAGAATCTGACTGATGATAGGCTATTCACATTCTCAGAAAGAGAAGAGAACAAGAGAGGACAATGCACATGGCCAACATGGCCAGCCCATGGTAGCCTATATACACTCGGAACATTCCTTAACAGTGCATAGGCTCACCCATTAACAGAATTAAAGTGTCTGAGGAAGGCGTCCAGCCTTGAAATGATGCGTCCGTCCTCAGAGCTGAGGGGCAGCGAGCTGTCTCATAACACACTTTATGAGTGACTCCAGCAGGGGTCGTGTGCGTGGGCTGGATAAAAGATGAGGGTGAGAGAGAGACCTGAAAGTTGTGAAAGGGAGTCTCTTTCTCTCCCTATCCGACTGCATTTTATTGCTCCAGGGAGGTAACGGGAGCACAGGGCAGGAATTCTACTGTGCCGTTCACACAAATTAATAAGTGTGACTGCTGGTCACAGTAGGTGATGTCACAACTTAATTTAGGCGACCACATTCATTCCAAATTGCCTTCTACAAAATTCATTAGCACACAATGTATTTAGGTATAAAAAAAGAAGAAAAAGCATTACTAAGACCAAAAACTGTAATGATATATGCTTTGTTATTTATCCCACTCTGCAAGAGACGATGGAGTGTAAATAGTAGGGGGCCGTAGGGATGGAGGAATGGTGCATTAAACTGAAATGAAGCAAATGAGAAAACAGCAACAATGATTTTGTTCGTGCCCATAATATAATGACTATAAAATGATGACAACATTCTTTTTTACTCTGTGATCCCCAAGCGAAGAAACTACCAACTTACTCCTTAAGGCGAGTCTAAAAGTAGACAGCAGCAGGAGGCAAAGAAACAAACGATTCTCATGAAATAAAAAAAGAAAAAAACAACAAATAATGCAAGTGAATCTATCTCTTCAACCCTAGCAGGTCAACCTCCAGCAAAGCCTACGAGCCAGCTGGGCTGAGGTGCACTTTCGACTCCAGCCCCTTATGGAGCAGCGTGACAAAACAAAAATAAACAAGCATTCCACACTGCATCCACTAAAACAAGTCACAAGGATCCTGCTGGAGCGTCACGTCCTCTGTGTAGACTTGTTATTACAATGCCGCCCTTGAATCATGGCCTCGTTAGCAGAATGTGGCACGCTGACATCAGCGGGGGCCGTGGTGGGTCTCAAACCCATCAGAGAGTGCTACAAATTAATTCACACATTAAAATCTGCATGATCCAGGGAGAACAAAAGAAATAGCTTTGGGATCATTACTAAGGGATTCTTATTTATAAATATCTGTTTCACTGAAGGCTTGTCGTAGTATTTACCATAGGAGAAACTGCTTGTCTTGAATTGTCAGTTCATTATACTGATCTTGGGAAGAGGTTCATGTCTTTAGGCCTAATTTACAAGAATAAAAAGCACAGCAGGTACAACATATACTCCTTACCATTTGTACTTATCATTTCAACTAATA